CAATTAGGGAACGAGAATAACAGGGCACTTTTAGATGGAGTGCAGTTACCACAGCATGTATCGTGCAGTCAATTTTGAAGGAATCCCCAGTGAGGCCATCTTCCACTTGGGTCCTTTCCTTTCCTTTCCTTTCCTTTCCCCTTTCCCTTTCCCTTTCCCTTTCCCTTTCCCTTTCCCTTTCTTCCCTTTCCCTTTCCCTTTCCCTTCCCCTTCCCCTTCCCCTCCCTTCCCTTTCTTTTTTTTGGGGGGGGTTATTTTTTTTTTCTGACAGTTTAGGGGCTTTCCTCTAATTTTATCCTGAGAATAACAGGTAAGTTCATTTCCACGATTCAAGTGGAAACCACAATCTCCTCAGTCCAAGCCAACACAATAACCACTATAACCATACTGGCTTTTCATAATTGTCCACAGTTTCTTGCATCCTACGCCTATGCTATTCTTTAAAAATCCATTGGCTGGAGTCTCAGGTGTCCAATATGCAGAAGCACCTGCAGAATCCAGGACTTCCATCAAAATTACAAAAGCAGGGTTGTACCATCACGACACGAGCTCTATATGCATACAACATCATGACACATGTACAAAAGAGGCAGAGTTTGCCTCACATAGTGCAATGCTGCTATCATCATTTGCCTCCAACAGATGCCTCGGGAAATGGGCTTTAGGGCTACATGTCTGCAAATATTATATGACAGCTGAAATTCAACCTTCCAAAGTTGCTCATTTAAATTCCGGAAACATATTGCTAGAAATTTTTAAAAGGCAGGCAGGGTAGGACACGCAGCCATCAATTAAAACAGCCTCATCACCCTTATTACTGTAAATATATATATTATGACCATTGATGTCCATGAATGTTAAATGAATGAGAAAATAAATCTCTCTTGTTGGGTATACAATGTATGAAAGAATTTATAATGATCACAAGCAACATACTAATGGATTATCATAAACAGGAAATAAATTCTACCTGTAAAAGTAGAAGGCACCCACTCCCAGGAGGAGGACCAAGAACAGCACGGCCAGGAAAGCAGCAGTCACAATGTTTTGTTTCTTTATGCGCATCACACGTTGCTGTTCCCACCACTCCAATTCACTAAACTGACAGCGCTCTCCCAGGTAGCCTTTCACACAGCTGTTGATGAGCAAACCAACAGAAAAGGCAATGCCAATGATCAGGAGTGGCTGATTTCACTCAGTACTGTGCAGTCCTTATGGGAAATTGTAATTTCTGGTCACCACATGAGAAAAAGCAGCAGTGGAAAGGTGCAGAAAGGACAACCAACTTGATCAGAGGGCTACAGCACTCTCCTTTGAGGGCCAAAGGTAACCTGATAAAAGTACGTCACCTCACAATGATAGAATGGGTCATTTGTTAAAAGTAAACATGCGGACATTCAGGATTGAAAAAATAAATAACTTATTGTAGAATTAAACTGTGATTCTTTTCTGCCATCACATTTAGTTTTAAAGAGTCTTGGACAAATTCAGAAAAGATCAAGCTACCATGGCTGCTAGTTTTGAGGGCTATTTACTATCTCCAAAATTCTAAGCAACATACCTTAAATACCATCTGCATGAGGAGTAACAACGGAGGATGCTATCACCTTTGTTTCCATCTTTATGACTTTTCTGTATGCACCTGATTGGCCATTGCACAGTATAGAATGAAGGATTAGATGAGCCACTAGCGTGATCCTGCAGACAGCTTATGTTACTTTGCTCAGCTTGGACTTCAGCTGCAGAATTTTCACAATAGCCACTGTAGGAATTCTGGGAACTGTGATCCATACATTTGAGGGCACCCGGATTAAGTATGGCTATAGTACATTTTTCCTTAATCTGTTACCCTCCTGCCCCCCATTGATATATTTGGATTGCAATTTCCATGTCCCAGTTAGCACAAGTGGGAATTATGGGAGCTGTAGCCCATGACATATGGAAGGCATCCAACTGGGAAATGTAAGGACATGACTTCTAAAAATATTTCAGTGAAGGAGAGCTTTAACATTGCCTTTATCCTGGCTGCAGTCAATAGGCCCAGATTTTATAATGTTAACTTTCCTTATTTGGGAACTAAAAGACAAATAAAGTAAATGTTTGAAAGTAACATTTTTCTTCCTCCTCTATAGGGTATTCTCTGAATCCAACTTTACTCTGAATTGCACTGTGTAGAGATCACACGATGAATAAAAAGGCAATTCTAACTTTCACTGAATTCTACAGACCCATCTCACTCCGAGATCTGGACGATTAACTCAACAGCATGATAGAATCAGGAGACCACAAACGTGCGTGGACAGTTAAATAATTAATAATACATTCTGAACTATAATAGTGAGATGTTATATGCTATGCTACAATATTAGTATAACAAGCATGTTTATTTTTAAAGTAAGCTGCAAAGCATCTTCATAGGTCTGGAAAGTGGGAACAGAATTTTTTTCTCTCAATTTGATGATGGAATTAAATCTTCATGTTGATGAATGATGAAACACTGCCACCTAATGTAGAATTGTATACCCAAGAACAATAAGTGTAAAATAAGGTAGAACTCAAACTCAGGTTGTCATACATATGTGGCACCTAAGAACAATATATGGAATTTCTTAACTGAAATAGTATGCTGAAGATGTTTTATACATTTCCTGTTCCATCTTTGGATCTTCTCAAATGGAGTGAGAATATCTGCAAGAAGACTCTAGGAGGGTTCTGCAGAATGTGCTAAAAATCTCTCTCACACCTTCCTGCCCGATCAGAAATATCTGAAGAGTATGGTCAAAAAAGTTAAGATGGCAGCCACAATGGTGCAATTGAAGTTCCGCCTGGGTTTTATGTGTATCACACACACTACACACATAACAACCGATTGAACCATTGTGGCTGCCATCTTAACTTTTTTGACCATATCCTACAGACACCCCAATGTTCAGTGCAAAAACACCAAAGCTGGTGCTGGTGCACACAGGGATCATGGGAGGTGAGGAGACATGAACAATTCTGCACCTCATCCAAACATTATATCCTCACATATTTTTAGATCTATAAGTGGCTTAGGCTAAATGCTCAGAACTAGAGTTGGGGAAAACTATGCTCCTTCCTTGACCATAAAGCTCACAGGGTAAGTTAGAGTCATTTTCTCTTGTCCCAAGTTACCTTACAAGGTTATCTTTGTGGAGAAAATAGATTATGTTTACATTAAGCATACATGGGATATAAATATAATAAATGCATTTCACATGCCACACAACACTATATAACCTGCCTTTTATTTCATTATTAACCAAATTAATAACTATGGAAGCACAGTGGAGTTCAATACTTACTTGCACGCAAAAGTCTGCAGATCTGAAAAATAAACGCAAACTCCCTCATGGAAACAGTATGATGACGGGCAATCCATAGGACCTTCTTGTTCAGATAATGTAGATTCATCCTGGGTTGCAATAGAAGGAGTGATGACAGATTCTGAAACAAATTGGGAAGAAGGGGCTTAATGTATCTGGGTCCCAAGGCCACGTTTGAATGACTTGATAGGTGGGTAAGTTCTCCTACTTTTAAAATAGCAAGTATCAGCTGCTGGAAAGAATAAAAGCAGATACAGTGAAACATCCACTTAGCAAGTCTCAATGCAACAGAATTGGGATGCAAAATATGAAATTTCCTGTGTCTTTATGTTATATTATGTCACTGCATAATATCATTTTCTTAATAATGCTCTTTGAGAGCCAGTGTGATGCAGTGTATAAGATGTTATATTTCAGCAAGGGAAATGCAAGTCCCCACTTACATACTGAGCGATTTTGGACTGGTTATTCATTATCAGCCTATTCTAGGCCACTTAAGGTCTCAGAGAAAAGCAAGATATATGTGTAATGAGAGAGAGAGAGAGAGAGAACTTGGTCCATAACAGTTGAGGAGCAGCTAAAGAAAACTCAGCATCACTAGTAAATTATGGTCCTTTTTCTTCTCCTACTATGACAGAATATTCCAGTTCATATACAGTATGATAGTCTGATCTTCTTCCACTGTGTAGCTAGCACTTTAATTAGGAAAGCATAAGAACATAAGCAGTGTCCTGCTGAATTGGACTCCTCATCCATCTAGTCCAGCAGTCTATTCTCACAATGGACAACTAACTGCACAAGGACACCCACTAGTCTACCAGAAGATGGCCTTCAGAGGTAGTCACACTGTCATCAAAGGTAATAGCCATGGATCCCCATGACACCCATGAATTGATCCAACCCTCTTCTGAAGCCAGCCAAGCTGGTAGCCAGGACCACAACTGGGGAAAAGGATTAATTTCCGTTTCTAGGGGCTAAGGGCCCAATCCAAACTGACTACCCACACATTTGACTGTTATTAACTTCTTTTTAAAATCTCAGAAGATCCTACTACCAGATTTTTCATTTCACATATAGTTGTTCCTTTAAGCAAGTGGTTAAAGTTCAATAGAACTTTTACTGCTGGAGATGATGGAATGTTTCAGTACAAATATCATGACATTAAAGAGGGTTGCAATGATCTCACTATCAGATATATTGGGACCCATAGTTCTTTAGGTCTAGGTTAAACAAAAATGAATCCTGGTTAACTTTAACTAGGTATCTTCATAACCATGGTTTATAAAGTCACTTATTTCTTTCTAAAATACAATCTATTGAAACATAAAAATATTATTACAGTCCAAAATACTAATGTGATTATTATTCATACAACAACAACAACTACTACTAATAATAATAATAATAATACATTGGATTTATTCTCTGCCCATCTCCCCTCAATGGGGAACTCTGGGTGGCTCACAGGTACAACAACAGCATACATATATAATTAATATTATCTCTAACATCTAACATCTAACATTAATCATTATACTATATAGCCAGCAATGGTCACGAGGGAGTCACAGCACATCCGGGCTTTCTCCTCCTCCATAGATCTCTTTTTTTCCCACTAGTCACATTGGTTGCATCCAACACTGGGTCCAGCACCGGTTTCTGCTCCCCGCACAGCGCTGCCGGTTCCTCCCACCAAAGGGGAGTACCTATTTATCTACTAGCAGATGGAATTGCTTTCGAACTGCTAGGTTGGCAGAAGCTGGGATGAGTGACGGGAGCTCACCCATCATGCGGAGCCGGGCCTGAACCACTGGAGTGCCAACCATTTCTGACCAGCAAACTCCAGCATCATTAAGCCCTGTGCCACCGCGTCCCTAAATAAGCTAAAACAATCCAATATAATAACACAGAAAGAGAACTTCATATCAAAATGTTGCTGATCAAGGACAGCAACTAACATCAACCACATTTCCATAGGATATATTGTTTGTTTCGGAATTCCTGTGGAAGTTGATGGCACAGAATGCAACAACAGAGGATAAAAAGTACAACTGTAAAAGTCAACAAGCAAAATAAAGATGACAGCTGCACCAGCTGTTGGTCCCAAGACATATCTGTCTTAGCAAGTGATTTTTTTCAGATGTTCCTAATGCTCCCCAAGAAGCTATTCTGTCAATCTGTTCTCCAGCTGAACAAATTATTGACAAGGTGCCTTGGTGAGAAGCAACTGTAGCTATTCAAAGACTTGACATGGCTGCTCTGAGTCCTTTCCAATGTCTTCTGGACATGCATTTGCAAGCTCAGCAGACACTTCTGCTAAGGGCTGTAGAGAGCCTTGAAGAAGCCATGCTGAGCCTTTGAAACCACAAAGCAGATCCAGTGAGGCCTACTCTCTTCTGCTATGCTAAAGAAAACATCTTTTTAGGGCAAGACAGGACCAAAGTTTTCCTCCTGAGTTGTTGTTTCAGCAAGACAACAAATCAGGATATATTGGTGCAGTTACCATTTCCATTTTTTCAAAAATATGGGATATAAGAAAAATAAGCAGGTTTATTCATTTTAATAAACCAGCAAGAGAAAGAAAGGGGAAGTAACTGGAGATGGGAGAGAAAGGAATGTGCATCCTTAAAACCTAGCTGCCAATTTGCAAAAACATGTATCTATCTGCTTCAGACTTGGCACAGTTGTTTGGGATAAGCTGGCAAATTGCTAAAAATGCTGGTCTTCCTATCTTCTGCAATACTGAACTGGAAAGCAATACTCTTGGACAGTAAATGTATGATTTAATGTCAGACTTCACATTCTAGCTATGCGGATCAGGGAGCCTGATTATGAACATAGTTTTAAATGAACTCTGATTGGAAATGTCAGCAACTCGAATCTCATGACTATTAAACAAACATAAAATTATTTGATGAGTATTATGACTGACTCAATTCTTGCTTTCATTTATAGGCAGGGTAACGATTTCCAATAAATCTCTATTGGGCCATCCATTCCATTAACACTGCCAAATAACAGAAGAAGAAAACTTCTCCTGACATCTAGAGGCTTTGCATCTTGATGAACTGAGGATGTTAAACATCACCTAGAATGCAGAAAGCCTAGAAGGAGGGGATAAATAATGCCAGCTACCTTACAGTTTGCAAGTCTAGCATCAGCAAGTACAAGTTTTAACAGGGGAAGATAGTCTTTTCAGTGCCAAGGACTGCTTTCTTGTGGTTTTTTGACATTCTCAAATCAGCTGTGGTTGTTGCAGTGATGTAGTATCTCTGGAACTACTATCTCTGGAATTTTCAGCCTGTTTTTAAATATAAAATAAGGATACTGAGCCCATCTCAGGAATAACATCTCTTGTTTACTGCCCCATCTATAAAACAGAATTGGTTGGTTTTTGTGGTTGCTTGTTTTGTTTTTTGCTGTAATTTGACAATCTTGTACTGAATTTGATTGTGTAATTTTGAGGGGTTCTGGTGATTATTTTTTTTTAAAAAACAAAACCTGGGGGGGCACGTGCAGTCCATGGCCTGAAGGTTACCTTTTCTTTTTTAACTATTTTGTATAAGAATTATGGACTCATTAAGGTAATTTCTTGAATCTTCATATTTAGCAATATTTAGCAATCTACTAATTATCTTGCTACTATCTCCCATACTAGGTCTCAGGGCAACACTGCTTCCTAAACTGAAGGAAAGTAAATAATGTGGAACATCATCCCCCCGTGAAGTGAAACTGCCCCCCTCCTTGATGTCCTTCCGGAAGTCCCTTAAAACTTGGTTATGTCAACCGGCTTGAGGATCTCATGGAAATGAGGATTTAATGAGGTGGCTACGCTGTGTGTAACATCTATGTTCTCTCTATCCTTTTTAGTGTGTGTGTGTGTGTGTGTGTGTGTGTGTTAATTTTAGAGTATCTTTGTAATTATTGTTTTTTATGGTTTTATTGTATGCCGCCTAGAGTCACATTTCTGTGAGATGGGCGGCATATAAATATGATAAATATATATAATAAGTAAGATAAATAAATAAATAATCAAGTTTAGAAGTTTGCCATAAAAATCCCTCTATGTAGGATGGAGAAATTATTCAGAATGACTGGAGGAACATCCTTCGTCTCAATAACTCACCAGAACAATGAAGCCCATCTTCAGTATAACCCAAAAGGCACTCACAGAAGTAGCTTCCTTCAGTGTTGATACACCTTGACCAGCTCTGATTGCACCGTTCTTTGTTAAGAATGCATTCATCGACATCTACAGGATAAAAAGTATTGAAAACTGGGAGACTATACATGAAAGAAGTTTCACCTGAGTTAAATCCTATTTCACAGAAGGGTTGTGAAGATAAAATAAGGTTGGGGAGAATCATGTAGGCTGCCTTAAATTCCTGGTGAGAAGGCAGGTTATAAATATAATGAATCAGATCTGCTTTAATGAACCACACTCACTATGTGTATGAATGTATTTGTTTATTGAACTTGCTACACTACTAACAACTGTACACTGGTTTCGAATATGATCTTGGACCTCCAAATGTTGATTGTCCTGAGTGTCAGGGATAATTTATTCTCTTTTAGCAAACTAAATAAAAGGATAAACCTAACATGAAAGCATATTAAAATTAAAAAAAACACACACTACGCTTAAACCTTAATCTATAGTTGCTGTGTTCCTTACTATGTTTGTATGCAGGGTGGGTAGGGGCGAGGGCTTGAAGGCACTGGCATGGTAGTATGGGTACCTTTGTGATCTCAGAATGATAACCCAAGATGAAACCAAATATATTCCATATTAATATTATTCTGTAATCTGCCAGATGAAATTACCATAGCACAGTTGACCTTCCATAATGAATCCTCTCTGGCACTCACACATAGCACCATTCTGATGTGCAATGCATTGGGAATTGAGATCACAACCCAATGATGTACAGTCGTCCTGGTCTGTGGCACAAAATAATGATAAAGAAATACATCATTCTATAGTTGTCCATAATTTATGCACACAGAGTAGCAAATTGCTATGAACAAATTCACTAAAGCTAGCTTTTCAAACTATATCCATCTACCCCCTACTTGCAGGAAACATGGACAAGCCTTCTCAATGGCAGACCCCTTTCTATGGAATTCCCTCTCCTTCCAAGGAATGGATAGCCTCTCTCCTATTTGCATTTTGCATATTAGACAGAACAGTATTGTTCCAGTGGGCATTCAGTCCTTAAATTAATTTAATATATTGCTAGCCAGTATTTAGTACTTTTTTCTTTATAAACTTTTTGTACCATGACCAGAGTCCATTTGGATTGAGGCAGGCTACAAATGTTGCAAAATAAATAAAGAAATAATATTTGTCATGAGGCCAGTTGCTGCACACTGTTTAACCACCCACTTTAGAATCATATGGACTTTAAGTTAGTATAAGGCACGTTTTTATGCTCCAACGGCACACGATCATAAAGCCATTCCCATAAACTGCAGAAATGCTTCTTTAGTCCCTGTCAGCCATTTTGCCAGTCACTGAGGACACTGACTCTCCTCCTGCCATTATGAAATAGGAAAAGGCAATCTTTACTAGACACCACAATTTCAGCAGTCAGTGTCTGTTGCTTCTCCCAGTTATCCTTGCTGCTATTGTCATATTCGCTGTTACTCAGAAGACGCTGGAAGGATATTTCCAGTGCAAACATTTTCTTTCCTGACACATCTTCCTTGGATGTAGAGATACGGCCTGAAAGGGTAAAAATAATAGGGTGATATACATCGCTGCCCTGCATTACTTCAGAATAACTGAAGAACTGTAGATAGCTTGTAATATATTCAACTGCCAAATTAAAACAAAAACGAAATATATTGTCGCTGACAAAATATACCAGTAATAGCTGCAAAGAATTACTTTGCTTAATATATACATATTTCTGTAATAATCATGACAATCAGAATATTTTTCTTTAAAAAAAATTTTTAATTGATTATTGGGGCAGGTTTTGCTACATAATCAAATCCATTACAATTCAGTTTTATTATCACTATTTACAGCATTGCTTCTGACATGTTGGAACCTCTAATAAGTCCTGAGAGAGAACTAATCAGAAAAAGATTAAAGTACATCACACTTGAAGTATACCTGGTTTGGCTAAAGGATGAACCACAAGCAGTGAAGAGGGCCTCAGCATGTTTCCTCCAAGGCGTACCTTCTTGAGGCCATTTTTTTTGTCTATTCTCAGTAATGAAGGCCTAGTCCAGTCAGATAACCAAATGTGGTCCTCAAAAACTGTTATGCCATATGGGTGGCCTAGAAAATAGGCATATAGATTATTGATAGTTCCGCTGTATACATGCAATGAGTAAAACATCAATTAATATGCACCCAATACGTTTCTATTCCGAACACTGCAGATCAAGATTAAAAACCTGTGATCCAGGGATTGCATGGATTGTCTCAGCATCACCCCAGAATAGATGAGACCAAAACCTGACTTTTTTTAGAGGGGACATCTTTTGAAGTTGGGCAGCTAAGGAACAACATTTAATCCCTTAAAACCCCTGGATGTGATGGAATGTATCTACGAAGAGGAGGGTGATGTGGAGGACAGAAGCAGAGAGCAAGGCTATCAAGAAGGAAGGGGTGCATTCCGGGAAGGGAAAGGAGACAAAAGACAACACAGTCTGGAGGTGCAGATGGGAAATATAAGAGGTTCAGGGTAGCCACTCCCTAGAATCTCCCGGGGTATATCCACTAGTTGCAGTAGAATAGATTTAGTCTGGCAAGACTCTGTCTATATGGTATAAGCAAATAAAGGAACTGAACTCAACTGGACTGTTTCACCATTGTTCTTGGGCTGGGCCTGACACTGAACAACCCTTAAAGGCTCGTAGCCCCGTCCACTTTGGGACTACAGCCTTAGATGTACCCTACACATCATAGTCTGTTAGCTGCTAGAAGTTGCACCTCCTTGTCATAGATCGCAGATTAGAGGCAGAATCCTTTAAATTCCTAGATCTGACTCTTGCCTAAAGCACATTCATTAATCTGTATTAGATGCAGAGGGAAGAACATGTGGTCCTTCATATGGTATTGGACTGCAAATGTCATCATTGTTACAACTTTGGTGGATAAAAGTAGGAATGTTCAACAATACATGGAGACTTTGTATCACCTAGTGGTCATCAGTAACATTAGGCAAGAATAATCTGTCCAAGGCTTAAAGCTGTCAACTCACTGGCAACTTGTTCCACTAGAAAAATGGTTCTAGCTCATGTTTAATTGACTTTAAATAGTACAAATTGCTATTTGTAGGCCAGAACATTCTTTTGTACTGCCAGTCTATCAGTCATTTATTTACTTTTATCTAAAAAGTCCCAATCTTCTAGGGTTTTATGACTTCTGATGATTTTGGCAGAACTGAAAGCCCTAAGAGCACAAAATCAGGATAGTAGTAGTGATACAGGTAGTCTCCATTTAACAACCATTCGCATTTGTGGCGGTGATGAAAATGTAACTTTGAACCAATTCTCGCATTTATGACCTTTGCAGGTCGTAAAGCAAAGGACAGCAACACTAAATCTCAAGACCAATTCTCCTTAAAAGATCTGTCCTCCACACAGGCATCCTTTCAGTGCCATCAGTGGCAGGAATGGCACTAGATGGCAGTAGTGCTGCAATAAAGATCATTACAGTCATATTTAGCTATTAACAGTAGGACTAAACAGGAAAAAAAAGTACTACTTTCTATAAATACTTTCTTCCCTTCATGGGCATACTTCCATTTTTCAAGATTTGTTCACATTTCTGTGCAAATAACACACAAAACTTCAAGAAAGTCAGCAAAAAAGAGCAGAGGCAACACACACAGACACACACACACACACACACAGAATCCCTTTGTTAAGCTCTCTCCCTAAGCTGGTGCCCTGTTGACTTGTCAGAACAAAACATACATTGGGATGGGGACCAGGTGTAACAACGGGGCCTAATGCTATTTGCTCTGCAGAGCAAGAGTCCAGATATAATTGCTTTAACACTTTCCTGCTTCCCACTCAAAAAAACTGCTTTCTGCTTCTTCATTTTCACATGGCTACCTGAACCTCATCTTGGAGCAAGATGGAATCAGGCCAGAAAAGTAATGCAATATGGATTGGTGACCAACAAACAAATATAGAGCTGACTATCATGGATATTTGCAGGAACTTGCTGCTTTCATCACTGGGACCCTAACAATTTTCTGGAGCTGCACTGCATGATAAGTGGTTAAAAAAAAAATTAGGGGTCCTCAGGTTACTCTTTCATTGACATTTTGATATGTGCATTATTGGACAGAAAACTATCGATCCAAAAGCCTCACCTACATCATTCTGTGTAAGTATTCGCCGACTAGAACCATCCAGATTTGCAGTTTCAATAACAGACATTTTTGCATCACACCAGTACAACTTGTCATCAGAGTAATCAATAGTTATTCCACTGGGCCAAAGTAAGCCTGAATTTGCTATAACGACACGCTCTGAGCCTTGCAAAGTAGACTTTTCAATATGTGGCTTGATCCCTAGGTCTGTCCAAAACAGTTCCCTTTATTGAAGAAAAACAGAATAAGTCATTGCATTTTAAAAAATTGCTTTCACCTTGCAGTACAAAGAATACATAAAAATCTGTATAGGTCAGGGTAATATATGAACAATATTCATAGGTAATCATTTTGTATTTTAAAATCCATCTTTGATCCCTCAACCATGATTAAAATAAGCACAAGTCATTGGACAACTGCTAGGTTTATGACTACAACAGAAAGGAGATTTATTTACAGGAAATACCATATGGGGATAGGAAAAAGTCAGGCATCTAGCTAGCTACTTCTTAGCTGGAGAAGAGTCAAAGGGCATGTGCTCTATGCATGTCTGCCTAGGAAGAAAGGCAGAAGGAAATGACCTCAGATGACCAATCGCTTAAACAAAGGGCAGGCAGAGTGATGAACAAAGAGGGAACATAGAGTAAATCCTTAACTCTTTATCTACACTCTATTTATCCTTTGTGGTCAGTAGTTCATGAGATGTTGAAGAGTTAGTGACATTGGATCTGCATGTTCAATAACTGTAACTGCAAAAACTCTGCACAGGAAACTTTATAGGTAAGTTTTTTGTGACATCCTTGGGAAAAATGGCGATCAATACACTCAGCAAAAAAGAAAAAGTGCCAAATCTTGAATCTGAAGAATAGTTTCACATATTTTATTCATGGGAGTCCAATACCAGTTTGGACACAAATTTGACTTGATGTCTTACTTGGTAAATGGATGAACAGCAATTCCTTGAGGATAAGACTCCTTCTCCTGGATGATTATTTTTCTCTGCATTCCATTTAGATTACTACTTTCAATGCTAGATTTCCTGCAAAGTATACACACAGATAGGGATTTCTTATTGCAGTAACTTTATTTCATCACTTGCCTCCTTCCAGCTGATTCTCTCACACCATGATATTAATTAAATATGTTAAAGATGTCCTTCCCTCCGTCCTGCCTTCTCCTACTAACAGGGATTGTAAACTGAGTAAGAATTGAGTAAGACTAAGAATAGAAACAACCACACATCTATAAATTATGAATAAAACCAGTAACTTCATGAAAAGCACCAGTTATTGTGTGTGTGCCTTCAAGTCAGTTTTTGGCTCCTGGCAACTGCCTGGACTAGTCCCTGCAGTTTTCTTGTTAAGGTTTTTCAGAAGTGGTTTGCCATTGCCTCTTTCCTAGGGCTGAGATAGAGTGACTGGCCCAAGGTCACCCAGCTGGCTTTGTGCCTAAGGTGGGACTAGAACTCCCAGTCTCCTGGTTCCTAGCCTGATGCCTTAACCCCTACACCAAACTGGCTCTCTAAACCAATTATTACTATATGCAAATACAGCAATGGCTATTCTGTTTCTTAGGAAAAACAGCAGCATTTATTTTTGATGGCTTTGCTGATATAATAAAAAGTGTTCCCTTTGTATGTGGAAAACCTGGAAGAGAGACCTGTTAAGTCAGTGTTGTGCCAAAAAAGGGCAACATTTATAAAAGGAGAATCTAATACAAGAGTATG